GGATAATCCCCAGAAATCAATTTAAAGGGTAATAAAATAATTGCTGATGCAATATTTTCCCTATAATTATTACAAAAACACAAAATAAGTAAAGATAAGTATTTATATTTGTGTACAAGCTGTTTAGATTGTCAAAAAGCCTGTGTTTTTAGGGTTATTAATGAAGTTTGTGTACTCAGACCAGTAATATTTGGGGTCATGGATATTTTGTGGGTCAGAAAGGTAAAAAGTTTGGAACCACTGGTTTACAGCACACGCGATTTCCGGTTAGCTTCTTAGCTTAGCCTCCTTCACAGCGACGCTTCAGCAGAGGCCACGCCTCCAGCAAGAATCACTTCTCTATAGCAGCGAGTCCAGACCCTCGTACGAAGCAGAGTCCAGACCCTCGTACGAAGCAGAGTCCAGACCCTCGTACGAAGCAAAGTGAAGGACAAGGGTCTGGTTTTTACCAGGCTACTGCTTATCCCTGATTCACACAACATTTTAAAACACCACACACTCTGGGACATCTAAGATTATCTTTAGAGCGGTCATGATAATCAGAACATCCTTAAGATAGTCGGAAGGGTCCAAAATCTGCACATTAATCTTTACGTATGAACACGGCTTTAGACACACATTATATAAATCAATTTAGTAAAAATTACATCCTGCTTTGTAAAGTGGGAGGGGATCACGGCACCACTTGCGACAGGACATACGCCAGGGTAAGGGGCGGGAATAAAACAGAAGACTAGACCATCCAAAATCACAGCTATTTTCTCCCCGTCTTCCCAGTCCACCAAGGACCCGGGCTTTGAAGGGCATAGCCCCTGAATTTGGACACAGCCTCCAATAACACCGGAAAACGTTTAGATTTGTCGCTAGTTGCTTTTTTGGGGAAAAAATGTTACAGAGGCCTAAAAACTCACTAAATCTAGCGACAAACCCGCAAAGTTCACAACACTGGGGGTAACAGATTTTCTCTCTACATAGTCCCAGATTCATCCAGGGCATCGTTTGTCACCTGCTCTCCTCTGACAGAAAACGTCCAGAAAAACTGGTCCATATCGGCACATCTTCGTTTCAAAAGTTCTCTCCGGTACAAAGGATACGATTAGTGAAGTAGGAGACAAAATAATGTGCGTGGCCAAGAATACAGTTGCAAACTGGCAGCTGAAACCAACTAATCTAGTTGTTGCAAACGTTCAGAATTCAGTGATCAACAGAAAATTTTGAATATTTTCAACAAGTAGTCTTCAAGACAACCCTTGTCCATTAGTTTGTTTTGTCTTGTTTGTTTTGTTGTGCGTTCCTTTTGGACAGTTTGTTTACTGAAAATCCGTCTTTCCAAATACAGATGTACGACAAACTGAAGGAGGAACAGGCAGTGGAATCAAAGGACTTTAGGAAGAGACTGTGTCTCCGTTCGGTGACGCTGCTGGATGATAAAACCAGAGGAGATTTGCTGTGCGAGGTCTCCTCCCTCCACACACAAACACACACACACACACACACACACTAATGTAATATATACACTATATTTTATAAAGTCACCGCTGCTGGTTGAGGACATTGTTCCCCTCACAGAGTTCATCGGAAGTGTGGCTGTGTTTTAGATAAAAGGGCCTGGATGATTGGAATTGCCATTACGTGCCTTAATTTTGTTGTTTTTATATAATTTTCTAAAAGGAAAAAAAACTTTTCAAAGAGATTTGTGTCTGAACCCCACACACAGAAAATATACGAGCTGTTTCCTGTCCGTCAGCAGTGGTAGCCTCCGTTTTTTTTTTTGTTTCCTGTAAATGTCTGTACGTTTGTTCAGTAGCACTTGAGACAGATTATATGCCAACAGTACATTTGTTTTGTGTTTTCAGTAGTGATTTTTCTTTACAGCTCCCAGATAGTCACGTTACCCCCGGCCATCAGTGGAGATGACTCAGCATTTGTTGGGAGTGAAATAAATAAAAAAAACAGTGCAAACTTGGGAATTTGTTAAAAAAAATTTAATGTTCACGTTTCCACAGGGAGAATCCTTTGTAATATTTTATCATATTAAAAAAGTCCAGGGGTCTCATTTATAAAGGATTGCGTGGAAACCATACTAAAAGTGAACATGCGGCCAAAAGGTGGAAATGGCGTACTCCAAAAAAAATTTTCAGATTTATAAAACCGTACGTACGCACGTTTCTGCGCATCTTTCCTTTATAAATCACAGCCGCACGTCAGAGTTTGCGCACGAGGTCCCTCCTCAGGTTCTGCCCTCTACACGCCCACACTCAACCATAAACAGTCAATGTAAAGTACCTCATGAATGTTAGGATGTATTTAAATCAGTCAGCTGATCAGTGATTGGTTCAGACACGCTCCGTCGTGTGTCTGGAGGATGACAGGTGCTGACTGACAGCAGCTCACGTGAACAGAATGTCTGTAGCTGACACAGATTTTCCCTCATTTTGCTTTAGAGTAATCTAACAATTTTTATAAAAAACTCAGCTTCAAATTAATTTTCTCTCAGTGCCTGCAGGACGATAAAAACAATAAAAATTAAATTAAGTAAGTCAGATAAAATTAGAAATAACTCCACCGCTCTTCTCCTCGTCCTCTCTCCCTCCTGCCTGCTCTGTTATCCGCAGCAGACACCCCCGCCCCGTGCGCACACGCACGCACGCGCGCGCCCGCGCGCGCGTGACAGATACGGACTTTAAAACGTGGCTTCATAACATCCACACTGGCAAGGTGGATGCGCCCTGCGCGTGTATCTAAAGCGTGACTTTTGCTGTCCTGCTGTTCTTGTTGGGGAGGGGTCTGTGGGTCAGGGAGGGGTCGGTGGGTCAGGGAGGGGTCTGTGGGTCNGGGGTCTGTGGGTCAGGGAGGGGTCGGTGGGTCAGGGAGGGGTCTGTGGGTCAGGGAGGGGTCTGTGGGTCAGGGAGGGGTCTGTGGGTCAGGGTCGTCTGAGGAGAAAGCAGATGAAGGGAGTTGCGCACGGGAACTTTTATTTAAGATTTAAGTTTTTTTTATTTCAAAGGTCCTCATGGCTCAGCAGCAGCAGCAGCAGAAGCATAAATATTACTGTTAAGAAAGCTGATGATAAAGCTGAATAAAAATCTAAGTCTGATTCTGAAGGTAAATTAAATATCTGACAGTGATCATTACACAGTGTGGCTCTAATTTCTCACTTCACCATCTGTGTCGCAGTTTCACGTCTCCAAAATGAGCGAACACATTGGTCAGAGCTGTGAGGCACCGCACATTTTCACGTCAAGTTTGGATTTTATAAATCACAACCTTGGTGTAAAAAGTGGCGTACGCAAGTTTCTGGGCTCAAATTGTGCGTACGCCAGTTTTATAAATCTGACCCCTGGGCTCAAATTGTGCGTACGCCAGTTTTATAAATCCGACCCCAGACCCGTTTTGGACTCATTTTTTGGGGGAGCTAACAGAAACTAGCTGGGCTAGGTAGCTAGCAGCTTGCTAACCGGTGTGCTAGCTTGCTATTTTAGCTTCTCTGTTGACTTGAAATGTAAACGTACGAATGCCTGTTCTCATTCAAGTGGCAGCCATTTTGGCTTGGCTTTGGGTTATGGAATAGTTTTACTGTGAAATTTTTATTTAGTTTTTTAATAAGTGGTTGTTGTTTTTTTTTTACTTTTGGTATTTGTGTGAATGAAGGAAGACACAGCTGTCTTGGAAAGTGACTGCTCATCGCGCACCAAAAACCTTTCTTTACTCGTGTTTGTTGCTGGTTGTTAGGATATTTTTATATATCCATAGCATAGTTTATTCCAAGAGCATTCTGGGAGCTGTAAATAAAATGTTTTACTGATGGTTTGTACCAAAGACACTATAAGATTTGGTCTCTGTATATTGTTTGTTTCTTTTTATATATAAGGGATTTGACTGTTTAAGGGGGAAATGTAAAAGGACAGAACCGTTTTTTTGTAGCTGGATTTAGAGTTTTATGAATAAATATTTAAGTTTGATTGACAAACTGCGTTTTCTGTGATTTTTTGTTTTTTTTAAGAGACAAACATCGGTTTCAAAAATGTAAAAGTCATATATAAAAATGTATTTTCCTAATATGCTTTGTGTATTTATTACACTGTGAGACAGCCAGTGATGCTGACTTGGCATAAAATCAAAACTACAAATGAACGTTGGTTAATTAGATAATCACAATACCAGTAGCACTGGTTCATTGGTTTTTATAGATTACGCAATCTGCACTGCATTTCACTTATAACAATGTAAGATCTGAGTAACAAACTACAGAAAATAAAACAGTGTAGACATCTGCACCAATGATCTGTGAAAACATCATCCCTTCACAGCTTCCAGAAATCATTCACAAAATTGGTTTAGCTTGAAGTATAAGACCTTCTTTAGCAATTCCACAGCAAAACCTGTGATGGGATTGTTCAGCCATCTACGCAGCACAAGGAGAAACAAAATTAAACTTCTCTGACTCAAAGTAAACATCAAAATGTATTTAAAGGGGACATATGATGCCAAATCCACTTTTTAGCTGTTAAATAGATTTTGTTGTGAACTTGGACTCTCTAGGAGGCAGAAAAGTTTAATTTAGTCTCTCGTGGTGCAGCAAAATATATTTATATTCTGTTTGGTTCATATTTTTCAGCCCGTCCGTTTTTTATTTTATTTTCTAATTTGCGACGGAATTACTATATAAGGTCTGGACTTACCGACGACAATTCCCTCATCTTAATTCTCCTCTGGTTCTGGGTCGAACTCTGGCTCCAACATGTAAGGATGGACAAGTCTTCTGTTGATATCTTTCAATTTAATTGTAAATAAAACATTTCTTCATCGCTAGAAAACATAACCCCCCCACTCTCAAACAGGAGTGGACCGGTCTAGAAGCGGGGGTGGGGGGTGGGGCTTGAACTGTCTTAAAGGAACAGTAACAAAACCAGCTAATTTGAGACACACAGCAGAAAGAGGGGTTGGTGAAGTTAAAAGAAGAAGGAATTCAGACCAAAGCTTTGTAGTTCCACTTTATAAAGACCTCAACTGACTGATTTAAATGTGAAAAGGAAGGATTTAAAAGCACATCATCTCTAAGGGCTAATGAAGTGGATTTTGCATGATATATTCATTTTAAAAATATGAAATTAAAGTTCACAGTCAGTATGTAAAACCTCAATTTATTTCATAATGGTAATGTACATTTATTATTGTTGGCCAGTAAACAAAAACTGTTTGTGAGGTATTACTGAACCTGTAGATTTCTTAACATATCAGGAATAAAACCCAAAACATCATTTTTAACAAACTGTTTTTACTAAAACAAGGCAACAGTGCGGTCATTTCACATCTTAAAACATGTCACTTTACAAACACGAATCATGTTTTCTGTTTGTTTACAGTTTTTAGTATAATCTGTCACATCTTAAACCGTTTCGTGTCTAAAGCGTGACTTGAGTAATCTTTGTTGCTCCTCTTGAATCCTCTCCTTCACTCCTTGGCTTCTTGTCCAGTCCACCTTTTACATCTTTTTTAGCCGTTTCCTCTTCCTCATTCCCCTCTTCTTCTTCATCCAGCTGAAGGCTTCCGGAGGAAAACCTCATCCGGGCTAACCCGGCGGGCCGTACCACTTTCCCCAGCTGGTGTGGTGGGCAGTAGTACGGATAGAAAACTTCGGGATCGGAGTCGCTGTAGCTCCCTGAGGTCCCGCCGATCATACATACTGAGGTGGGGCGTTCAGGGAGCGGGGAGGAGTTAAGTGGGAGGTAGGTGGGTCGGGAGGGCCGCGTCAGGTGAGGGTAGTACCCAAGGGGTCGAAACTCAGAGGCGGGGTTGAAGGTTGGGTTTGTACTCCTCGAGAGGTGGAACTTGACATCCGGTTGGCTCGCCACACGGCGAGGCAACCCAGGCAGGAAGTTGGAGTCGTCGCTGTAATGTCCCGCCTCCGTATGTCCAACGCCTAAAAGCCTCGATCCGTTGCTTCCCGTCTGGTAGACCTTCGCCAGTCCCAGACCGCCTGAACCACACGGGCGAAAGTCCCTCCTTATTGGTGACGCAGATGGCGAATCGTGGGCTAACGGGTAGAAAGACGGCCGTGAGACGCCATCCACTGACACAAAGTCCCGCCTCCTTACATGAGGGAGCCGCTCTAGTGAAGAAACACTGACGTAGTCTGATAAATATGGATGTCTGGTTAGCAGTGAGGGACCGGCAAATGGGAAGGATGGGAGGACCGGGTGATACTGGTAAGCTGGTGTGTTGGGGTAGAGGAGAACCAGCTGCTGTGCAGCGTCAGCATACGGCTGTGGGTTCGGCCGACGTCTCGACCGGTTGCCGTAAACACCGGCTAGCCTTTGGGCTTGGCGCTGTGCTCCGTTCCGTGCCCCCCTTGCGTCCTCCATTAAGGATGCAGAGGAAGTGCGTAACTTTGGCGAGGGGGTTGACTGGCCCAGGGATGGGGAAAGGGGAGTGACTTGAGCCAGGGGGTGTGGCCTTTGGTTGACAAGACTAGACGATTGGCTGCGTTTAGACGCTGTCTTCATTTCAGTGTCACTTAGACCTCGGCGATGGCGGTCCATTTCGTCCTGACTGTGGACGGCCAGAGCTCGGCTCGGCTGGGGGAACGGGAGTGATTGTTCGTATAACTGAGAAGGTAAGACGTAAAATTATTCTTCATCCTGCAATTAATCTACTAATTATTCTTGTTCACATGCTGGTGAAGATTATGAGTCAAGACAGTCAAAGATAAGTGGACTTTTTTATTCAAGAAGACAAGAAAACTTCTTTGAAACATCTTGACGAATAAAAAATTGTCCACTTGTCTTTGATTTAACCTGCTAGAGTTGATTCAGATAAATCACCAAAGAACGGTGGAATCTGAGTTATTTCTCATCACCTGTTTGGAGACGTCCGTGAGGAGATCAGGAGAAGATCGACACTGTCTGGAATCGAAGTCTGACTGGCAGTAGGTCCTGAAAGAGAACGAAAAGAATCAATGCAAATGGATATTTAATTAACAACAAAAATCCTCCTATTCATATTGTTGTTTTGAGTTCTAAACAGATTTCTTCAACCTCAAAATCTGTCCAGAACAAGAGAAGTCTATTAAAATGTTCTCATCTCTGCTGCTTCCTGTAGGTGTCTCTACAGCGCCTCACTATCTCTTTACCATCCTGGTCTGTCACACCCACCCTACATCGCTCCCTCCACCCTACATCTCTGGGGTCTTTCTTGTTTCCTTCTCCTTGACAGCTTCATCATCCTTTGTCCAGCATGTTTGTTTTGCTTTTATGGTTCATTCCTCTCCTCTCCAGATCAGACCACCTCCCCAGACTCTCTTCCACCTACAACCAACTGTCACTGCAAATCAGTCATCTGGAGATGGGGGGTCTCTGCAGTCACTAAGTGGGAGGTTCTTGGTGTGAATGAGGGGTTTGTTAAAGACAGGTTTTGGTTGGACTGACCATTTTGAGTGGGGTTTGAAGAAGCCATAGCGCTTCGATTGGATAAACACTGGGCAGCTGTGGGGACGAGTAGCTCGGCCAAAATGGCCAGAAAGTACTTATAATTATGAGTTCAAATATTAATTTTAGTCATAACTTGAGAAAAGACTGTGCTAGTCCCACCAAATTTTAAACACATTTACATTTTACAGTAATTTTTCTATTACCATTACTTCATCTTTAAACTTGCCCCACAAGACAAGTCAATCTGACCAATCAGTTTTGCCAAACTCAGCCCACACAGCCAAGAACCTCCCCTGTTTTGACAAACTCCGCCCACACAAACAAAATCCACCAATCAGTTGTCAAACTCCGTCCACACCAAAGAACTCCACAAATCACAGTTATGACAAACTCCGCCCCCACAGTCAAGAACCTCCCCCTATATTGGGGCGGCTGTGGCGGAGTGGTTAGGGGAGTCGTCCTGGAACCAGAAGGTCACTGGTTCGATCCCCCGTCCAGCCATCTCAGTCGTTGTGTCCTTGGGCAAGACACTTCACTCACCTTGCCTACTGATGGTGGTCAGTGGGTCCGGTGGCGCCAATGCATGGCAGCCCCACCTCTGTCAGTGTGCCCCAGGGCAGCTGTGGCTACAGTGTAGTTTGCCATCATCAGTGTGTGAATGTGAGTGTGAATGGGTGAATGTCTGCAGTGTAAAGCGCTTTGGGGGTCCGGAGGGACTTGAAAAGCGCTCTATAAGTTCAGTACCATTTACCATTCAGTACCAGTACCATATACTATAGAGACCCCTACTTGGTCGTCTGTGTACAATGAAAAAACTTCAAGAGTGGAAATAATTAGTATAATTTTTTTAATTTTAGTTGTAATTTCCTTGGTGTATTACTGCAATGCTCATGTTAACGATTTATTTCTGTCGCTGAGTGGTCTCAGAAATTTGTTTGGTAAAATCCACTCTTACCGTTCAAACTGTGAAGACTTCTTCTCTCCTGATCCCATACACTCCAGCAGCTGTTTCTGGGTTCTTCCACTGCCCCACAAAGCAAAAATCATACTAAAACTAATGCATTATCAAATATGATGAAAAATATCAACTCAGATTTGTCAGAGCATACATTTTAGTTGAAAATAAATCAGAAATATGACATTACTATTATAAAATTACATCGTACTGGTAAAAATAACTTCAGTGCAACACATTTGTAGTTATTTCTAAGCAAACATACAAAAAAGTGTATGTTTTGTTGCTTCTATGTTTGTACCTGTATCTAAACGTGGATCCTTTACAGGATAGCAGAGTTTTATGGACGGGCTTTGGTTCCTCAGCTAGCTTGAAGAAGGCGTGATACTCCACACATGTCTTCCAGAACGATTTACAAACGTCACGGCTCGCCATGGCGAACTCTAACGTATCCTTACACGATGGCTGGAAGGACAGGAAGTGACACTTCAAACAATCTCGGCTGAATGCGATGCTAACTTTCCATCCAAACTATCTTCTCTATGTGTGTGGTCATAATGTTTCGGCTAATTTATAGCTGAATTTTGGACAGTTCTTGAAGTTCTCACCCCAACTTTGTCATAAAGTTTAATGAGGAAGTGTTTGCGTTTGAAGCTGAGTTTGCGGATCTTCGCCCAGCTGAAGGTGTTGATTTTGGTATTTCCCTGAAAAACACAGAAAAAATACTAAGTTTAGATAATGGGGATTATAATGTAACCTTTTTGTGTGTATTTGTACACACATTAAGAACAGTTACTCCTACCTGAAAGACCAGAACTCCAGTGTGTGTGACAGCCAGGTTAATCCTCATCCCCTCCCCGTCATGAGCAGCATGAGGCCTGATGCCGTACATATCCAGCTTTCTGGCCACCTCCAGCAGCTGGACATCTGAGTCTGCTGGAGAGGCACCTCTAGGGGAAAACACACAAAAATAACACAATGGACTTTTAAAACCAACAGACAACAGCGATTAAATGATTAAACGCCAACAGATCTCAGTGTGTACACTTCATACCTGTGTCTTTTATGAAATTTGAGGATTTTGTTGTCCAAGTACTCCTGATTGGGAACATAGTGCTTCATGTCCAGATGTTGATAGTCCAGCTCCTCGTCGTAGTCCCCGATCTCTGCTGTTACACAAACACACACAAATCTACAAATGTCTTCTCTGATTCTAACTTATATTTTCTCAAAGGGTAACCAAAGACTGTCAAAATTTAAGGACATGTGTGACTTCGCCCAAATCTTAATAACAATGCAGACTACATTCTGGTATGTAGCAGGGACATACCTGGTACTTGTAGAGTAAATATATCAGGTACTTACAGGGTACTTACCTGGTACCTATCGATACATAAATGGTACATAACCTTACTGGTCACCTAACTGGTATTTCAAAGGTACACAGCACTATGTGCCTATGTATTAATAGGTTCCCTGGAACTCTAACTTGTTCCTTTGGTGTGGTTTGGTCTCATTTGTCTCAGTGTCTCCCTGTGACCTGTCCAGGGTGTACCCCACTTCCCTTAGAGTGACTACTGGTGACAGGCACCAGGGACCCCCAAGAGCCAAAATAGAAAAGCAGGTAAAGATGGACACCTGGTACCTGTGAGTACATAACTAGCACATGCTCTTACTGGATATCTAAATAATACTTAACAGCTACACACATGATATGTTTAGGTACTTAACTGGTACTTACAGAATAAAGTATATACCTGGAACTTAATGGGTACCTAACCAGTACTTACCGGCTACATACCTAATACCTTTATGTACCTAATTTTTACTTAGTCTAGAGTATATACCTGGTACTTAGTGGGAACCTAACTGGTACTTACTGGAAAAGAGTCTGATACCATTAAGTACCTAACTGGTTATTCCTAAGTACCTGGTACTTAATGAGTACCTAACTTGTAATTACATGGCACCAGGTCTTTAACACAATTATCATGTACCTAAGTAGTACTTATGGTCTACATACTTGATACCTTTAGTATCTAACTGGTACTTACAAAGTATTTACCTGATAATTGCATGGTTCCAGGTCTTTAACTGGTAATTATCATGTACCTAACTAGTACTTAGGGACTATGTACTGAATACCTTTAGTATCTAACTGATACAAAGTATTTATCTGGTAATTACAGGGTACCAACAGAGACCAGACTGTAACTTGTTCTTACAGGATATGTACCCTTTAAGAACCTAGTATAACCACTAAGTACCAGTTAGGTACCCTGTAGGTACAAGTTACAGGTAAAATATTGGATTGTATTATGCTATCAAAATGCTTTTATGAAATACTTAATCTCAGAATATATTTGTATTATTTTAGTTCTTACCCTGCAGTATGTGTGAGACCAGCAGTGCGGCGCTGTTGTCGTTACAGGTCAGACTGCCGTTGGATAAATCCTGTTTTATCTGTAAGGCAAAAAGATACCTGCACGTACACAATTACAAAGGGTTAAAACTACACAATATTAATGCTAATAAATTGGTATATATTTTTATTTAAAAGGCCCCAAAATACCTCGTGAGACCTCTCTTTAGTTGTCCAGGATCTGGAGGGAAGAATTTGACTATAAACCTAAAGAATAAATCATTGGTGTCTGACAGAGAGAAAAAAGTAAAAAAGAGAAAAACTTTCAATACGGAAAAAAAGTTAAGTTTTTAGATAATTCCCAAATTTCATATTTTACCCAACAACAAACTTTTTAAAAACAAACTTAAACTTTTAGCATTTCATTCATGACAAAAAGTCCTCTCTGAACGGAATGCCAAAACCAATTTTAAAAGCTAATTATGTTTTTATTTATGTGCTTTTTGCCACCAAATCATGAATAATTTTTAGAAATGAAAAAAATACACTGCCTTTTCCACATTAGAACATAACGTGCCTTGAGTCCATAATGCAGTATAGATGTTGTTTTTCTTGCTTTTCTGAGAATAAATTTTATATAATTACATCATTATTCTTATTATATACTGTATAACAATTTCTGTTCCAACAAAATAGGTCCTGGTTTTGTTAAAAATATATCAGTTGTAATGAGTGTTTTGATTAGTAAAAGGTTTTTCTGTCCTAAGTGACCTCATAAATAGAAACCAGACGCTAGTTGGATTTTTTTTCTTATTAGTCTGCCTTCCTGTTGTGCTTTTAAAACAAGATGAGGAAAATACTTACATTTAATCTGTTTGACTAGAGGCTTCAGCAATTCCAACCAAACCTGCAACAGAAACATTTTCAAAGAAGCAGAATAAAGACTAAAATGTGAATACTTGAGTATTTTTTGTATTTCTTACGTAATGGCCACTGTGATGTCTGAACTCCAGTCCAAAGTACTCCTTTTCCAGTAGTTTCAGATGACCACAAACTTTGTTGAAGAAGTCGCCACCTAAAACATTTTGCTGAAAGGAAGGAGAGAAGAAATTAAAGTGGGTGTTAGTCAGAGGGATAATTGGGTTTTTCTTAATTCTTAATCTGGAGATTCTCAAGGGACCCAATCAAACCAGAGTTCAGTTACTTTTATTCACCAGAACATGAAGAATAATGAGATCCTGTATAATCCGCAAATGGTATAAACTGTAATTTAAATTTATGTATTTTTATAGTTTTTTATACAATTGGCTAAAAAGATATTAGTTTAATTTTGGAATAAGCTGCTAACATGAAAAGTAGGTAAAAGTCATTGAATGTTGGGTTTGTCTACAACTGCATAGCATTTTAGTGTTAACCTGATCCAAGATGGCCGCCACAGCTAATTCTACGGGTTTTGAGCTAAAATTTGGTGTGTTAGTAGTTGAGTACTGGCAAATCAGATGAGGTATTTCACCCTCCTGCTGCCCTTGGGTCAAAATGACTAGAAACTCTTAGCAGTGGTGAGCACAGCTAACCAAAAAGTTAGCTTTGCTAGCTCATAGTCTGCTGACTAAAAATATAGCTTTGCTAAAGCTAAATTGGTAAACATGTAAAAAAATAAAAAAGGAAGGAAGCTAAGGCTAAACAGCTAAAGAAGTAAAAATGAGCCAAAGCTAACACTAGCAGCTAATTGCTAACTATTAAGATGGCATCACATGTCTTTGGCTGTGTCCAAAACGACAGGCCDGGTCCTCCGGAGGACCCAGACTCCCCGGTCTTGGTGGGCCGGGTCCTTGGTAGACCGTGAAGACCGGAAAAAAAGAGGCTGTGATTTTGGACGGTCTAGCCTCCCCTCCTCACCCCGGCGTACGTCATGTCACCTAGCAACTGTGACGACGCTAAACAAGCAAACTTAAATCAAAACTAGAAAATTATCAATACATTAGCATTATTAATATCACAAAACTATGAAATTAACTTAAAAGTATCATTTGAAGAACTAATTGACCCGCTGTAGGTTCATGTTTATTTCGCGTTTTTTATGACGAAAAAATAATATTTAAAAACATGTCCATACAAATGATAAAAGTATTAGAATTACAACCGCTAAATTTTTTTAATTTTTAAATCACCATATTTTTATTTAAAATGTATTCTTTTCTCTCGCTTCGTCCGCCATTACTAGCTTAAAAAAATCTCCGGTCGGGCCGCAATGCATTATGGGATATGCTGGGCCGGGAAGGATCCATCGGACCTGTCCTTCGATTCGGGCCAAAGGAAGGACGTATTTGTCGGATGCATCGGAGGAGTCTTACGTTTTGGACGTCCTTCGTCGCGGCGCTGTGACGTATGAGGACGATGAATTCGACCTTCGGAGGACCCGTCCTGCCGTTTTGGACACAGCCTTTGTCTCCATCCAGCTTAAGACTGTTGATGCTAGTCAGCTATTAGTGTACCTAAATTTGGCAAAAGCTAACTGGTCCTCTAACAGTTTTCAAAGTGAGGAAAAGCACCAAACAAAAAATAGATGGTTCTCAGGTGATGTAACAACTTGTGGATCATGTGTTCAAATCACCATATTTGTGGGCGCTAACATGAGAAGATAAAGGTGCCGCCAAACAAAATATATTCTTAGAGTTTTTTTCATAACAGTACCAGTGTATTTGACCGTGGCCTGCCAGTCCTTATACTTTCCCCACCATCAGGCTAAAGCTAGGTTTATAGTTGACGCATCGCGCCAGGTGCAAAGGGGCACGCACCAATAGTGACACAGTAGTGGTGTCCCGGCCTGTTGTCATGCACCTTCAAATTTTTGTAACTCCACAAAGGTTGTGCGTGCTGCGGACCTTTCATATAGTTTGTCTATCAAAGTGTACTGCCACATGGTCTTTTGGAGAATACTACAACATTGTATCAAGTATAAACACCTACACCACTGGGTAGGGCATTAGCAACGTACAGTTGTGTTCAGAATTATTCAACCACCAATACAGTAAAGTGTTTTAGTAAGTTTGATGTTTATTTTTTATCTCGTTCACAATCAGATCAAAGAAGGACTATAATAATAAACAAATGCAACCTAAATTACAACATCTTTTCAGGTATACCAACAAATGTCCGTTTAGTAATTTCCTCATTGACAAAATTATAGTCACATTCATCATTAGTACTTAGTACAACTCCCTTTGGCAGTAATAACATCCTTCAGACATGAAACATAGCTAGACACAAGTTTCTTGCAGCGATCGAAAGGTATTTGTCCTCATGGACAAAGCAACACGTCCTCACTCCCGACTCATCAACATATTGACGCTTGGTCAGGTACTCTGTGTTCAGTTTTGACGTGTCGGGTACCCCCTTTTCGTCAGTCATTGCTGCCCGCAGCTTTTCTGGGTTGTGCCACTTAGGGGTCTTTGGGTTGGGGGTCTGTGGTTAATATGAGAGAGATTAATTTTAGGTACTGAGGTCAGTGATAGGCTGTATATGGCTAACAGAAGTTAAATTTAGGGTCTGGGACAGTTCTCGCACATTCTCTACACTTTAAAAAATGATTAATATGAGGAATCAGGGTTAATGGTTCCTTTTAAGTACTGAGGCCAGGGATAGGCTGCATATGGCTAATAGAAGTTAAATTTGGGGTCTGGGATGGTTAGTTGTTGCACATTTCCTACTCTTTTCAAAAATACGACAATGCACTCCCCCTCCTCCGTCTCATCTCCTTAAGAACTGATACGAGGGGGGCACATGACACATCCAAAACTGGCCAAACGTCAATATGTTGATGAGTTGGGAGTGAGAATGGGTTAGGGCAACGGCCTCTAGTTCATTGACATTCTTCGGCTTGTGTCCTGCAACTGCCTTCTTCAAGTCCCACCAGAGATTTTCTATGGGATTAAAGTCAGGTGATTGTGATGGCCACTCCAGAATCTTCCAACCCATCTTCTGCATTTTTATCTCGTCGCTCCAGAGAACAGTGTCCCAAAACCTTTGTGGTTTGTCCACATGGTTCTTGGCATACTGGAGTTGACTCTTCTTGTGCTTTGGAGTCAGCAGAGGGGTAGTTTGGGAGTTCTGGCACAGAGGCCTTCATCTTGCAGTGTGCGCCTTATCGTTTGGGCCGAAACCTAAGTGCCTCCCTCTGACAAGTCCTGTCGCAGTGCCTCAGCTGTCAGCCGGGAATTTTTATCCACCTTTCGTTTCTGGTAACGGACAGAAGTCACTGACAGCAACCTCTTTCTGCCACGCCCAGGTAGTGTTTGCACTGTGCCTTTAGATTTTAACTTGTGGATTCTGCTTCCAATTGTGTCTCTTGGGATGTTTAATGTCTTTGCTTTCTTTTTATATCCGCATCCTTGCTTTTGAAGAGAAACAACCTCCTTTCTTGACTTCTTTGACCATTCCCTGGACTTCACCATGTTGCAAAGACACTACTAACTGTGTAGAAGGAGCTGAGTATCCCAGTCCTTTTAAATCTACTTAATTGATGCTCGTTGTGGCTCTTTTCACATCAGCAGGTGCTTTTAACGCCTGACTGAAGACACCTGATCGCGACCTCTGTTCTTGAGAGTGGTCATTTTTAAGGGGTTGAATAATTTTGAACACAACTGTAGCACTCCACTGCCCTACCATGATGGCATTAGAAACTAAGCTGCTACCATGGGTTTATATACTCTACCACCAGGTTATTATACCAAAGCTCAGTGCCAGCTACATTTTTTTTGTTTTTATGTTGTTGTTTTTTTGTTTGTTTTGGTGTCATGATTTACGTCAGTAGTACAGTGTTTCCTGGTAGCACTTCTTGGCCTCGTCCAACATTTTGTTTGTTTCTTTTCTATTTCAGTAGCTAGCTTTAGCGATTCTGCCAGAGTTTCCTTGCTACTAGCTAAATGCTAGCCCACAAACATGGTGGGGCCGGTAAAAAAAAGGTACCTGAATGATGATGTCAATGAGAATCATTTATCATTTTTGCTGTTAGCTGGTTAGCGGAACCATGCCCACCACTGAGACTTAGTTTTAAAATCAAAGCCTTGTGGATGCAACGCAGTGGTGATAGCGTATTCTTCTAGTTTAATCAACAAAATGAAGCTAAATTCTAACATAAATGCAACACTAGAACTGAACTTATAAAATCTCTGCTTCTCTGTCCTCATCTTTTATTCCTTTAATTGCCGGGACGGTGTTTGTTCGTCGTGCTGCAGGAACATGTTTTTTTTAGTACTTCCTGTCTCCTAGCTGGTGTTTAGCCACATGGCGTGGGTCACTGGAAGACGCTTATTAACTTGTCAGGAAGCAGAGGAGAAAAACAGCATCTGGTACTGATGATAGAGCCAACACAGATCTAAAACACACCTTACATAAAACCTATCTTCTCTGTGCGGATTATTTAGTCCATCAGTCCGCTCTTCTTCTTCTCCACATCTTGTCTGATCATTAATTGAGTTTTTGCCCTGAAGGTTTGAGGATTGGGGTCAGAGGACAAACCTCTCCCCCCTCCTTCCTTTTCCTGAAAAATAAATCTAATTCTTCAACGTTTTGGTGGCTTGGCCCTTACAGAAGCTCAAACCGGTCCTTACGGTGACGGACGTCTCAGCTGCAGCGCTTCTCTTTAATTCTCTACAATTACTCTAAATTTATCTGTTTATTTTAGCTTCAGCCCTTCTGCTCATCCATCCACACTTATTCTGTTTTCCTCCTGTTCTTGACGACATCTTTCCTTCACCTCCACTGGTTAAGATGCTACCAAAGTCCCAAAGGCTCAGGGGAATCTTAGGGGGAGAATGGGGCCACTTTGGTAACACAAAACACACACACACACACACACACACACACACACACACACACACACACACACACACACACACACACACACACACACACCACCACCACCACCAGCCTTTGGTCCCCACAAGGAGCATTAGGTCCCCACGAGGCTATACTTCGTCCCCACCAAGTAGCAAAAACATGGGGCCATTTCACTTCACCTGCTGTCCTCAGGTCAAAATGACCCTGAAGTCCTCAGGTTAAGGCTTCATTGGGTCATTTTGACCCG